ATGAAGAAAGGCAGTCAAGACACTGCAAGGAAGTAGCAGACGGCTGGGGTAGACCTGGCTCAGCTGTCGAGCAGAGCAGTGTCGAGCTGACGCTAGAGAAGACCCCAGGAACGCGAAGCACGAAAGCAAATAGCTCTGCCGCCAGACCGCAACACGGCGAGACGACAGTTCTGCCGCGAGAAACCAACGCGACGACGCGAGAACCAACGTTGAAGACAAAGACGAAATAGAGAAATAGACGACGCGAGAGATCCATGTTGTAGACGAGAGATCTGTGTAGATGCTAGGGTTCGCCATGAGGCGAAACCCTAGCAGAGCGGAATTTCATTCCATGTTCTTTTGTCCGATACTTAATATTGTGAGAAGATATAAGATAATAAGTGATAAAATCACCGAAGGAAAGAGGCGAGAGACAATTGAACAACATTTGACAACTATGCATTGAAGATAAAAATAAGATGAATACTGCAACTTAACAAAAAACATACCACATGTTTAAAACAACGCATAGGTGCAAGAAAAGATAAAATTTCTTTAAATCAATTTTGATAAAATGGTGGTCGCATATGGTGGAAGGTTTCTAGATAAAGGCATTATAAAGCTCTCAACCCGATAAAAGTCCTTGAATGTCACTCGCCACACTTGGGTGTTTAATCAAATAAGATTAGTCAGAAAAAATACATGAGTCATCAAGCACATAAGTCTTGTTGACATACCTTGTGAAAGGTTCGAAGCAAAGACACGTAAGGCATAAGTATAAATTTTCACAAGTAAAAGTCTAAAGCTATAAATGAATGAATCAAAATTTGTACTGGTTGAAAATGTTTGTTTTTTGAAGCATTTAGATGACAGTTAATGAGGAAGAAGCGATGCTTATTTTATTTAAGATGTTTTATTTTGCATTCGAGCAAAAATATAATATGTTTATAAATTTTTACAAGTAAAAGTCTAAAGCCATAAATGAATCAATCAAAATTTGTACTGGTTGAAAATGTTTGTTTTTTGAAGCATTTAGATGACAGTTAATGAGGAAGAAGCGATGCTTATTTTATTTAAGATGTTTTAGTTTGCATTCGAGCAAAAATATAATATGTTTTTCCTATGATAAGAATTCCACATTCATCCTTTTTTTCAAGGAAGAAAATCCATTCAAATGATCATATATTGGAGATCTCCAACAAATGATTGCATATCTTCTTTGCATAATAAGATATAAAAAATGACATTGGAAGTGTTCGAATTTTCTTATGCTATGGAAAAGAAGGCCAAAGAAAATATGTGATTGACTTGATTGAAACCATTAGCAACATGTTAATTGATGATCCATGTAACCTTCAAAATTTGTCTAGAGAAGCAGACTTGAGCGGTAACACTTAGAAGGAATAACACGACATCTGGACGGTTGGAACGAGCATCAATAGGAGAAATGGGATGGCATGTGATTCAGGGCCACAAAAGATCGTTTCGAAGGATTTCGGCTTAGAACAGGGACTACAGTATGTGAGACCCTGGTTAAGGGTTGCTTTCGATAACGTCAGTGCCTTTTATTACAATAGCTTTCAGGCGAAAGGAGATTCAGGAGTCTATGAGGATGAGTGAGCTCGTTATGGGGTGAGCCAGACTTATGGAAGAAAAGAAATCATTATGGGCCGAGGAAGGGAACCCAACTCCTACTTTATAGGTGGAATAAACTTCGATCAAGAAATTTAGGGCGAAAACTCACGCCTAAGAAAGCTGAAGGTGTCGATCTCTGAAGGATAGGATGCTAGATATTTTGCTGTTAATAAGCTGACTGAGGAAGAAAAATTGATGGTGGCGTCTTTGTGTTTGGAAGGAAAGACATAGCATGATATCAATTGAGAGAACAACGTCAACAAATCCAAACATGGGAAGAATTCAAAGACTATATGGTTGAGCGCTTTAGAACCACATGGGAAGGGCATTTAGATGAGCAATTTATTGCTTTGGTTTAGGAAGGATTCATCTTGGAGTATAGGAGGAAATTTGAGATGTTATCTGGCCGTTTGAGAGAGATATCTGAAGAAGTATTGGAAGACAACTTTATGAAAAGGGTTGAAGCTAGAGGTTCAAGTATCATTTTGTTTGCTTAGTTCACGGGGGCTGACGAAAACTATGGAATTAACATATTTGGTTGAAGATAAAAATACAATTGAACAAACTAATAAAAACATCATTGGTGGAGCACATATCAAACAACCACATATCAAACATCCACAATGATACTAAAAGCTCAAACAGTGGAAGTCGAGAGAGAGTTTTCACAGGACAACAATCCTTGGTCACGACCGGAAGCACTCTCAAGCACGTTACCGAGACAAAAATTAATTAGAAGCGAGCCAATTAGTTTTGTTTTCGGTGTGATGAGAAGTTTTCCCCAGGACATTATTGCAAGGATTGAATATTACAGGTTCTCATAATGTGTGGTGATGAGACAAAGGATGAAGAAACAGAGACACCCTCACTTCTTCCCACATTGAGGACAATGTGTCTTTTGGGAGAGGAGTATTGTTACGCCGGTGCCTAGCATAAAGACAATTTTGTCTTTTGTTCTTTTAAGGGCAATTTAGTCTTTTTTTTCATTTATTATTATTTAGTATAAATAGGGCTAATATATTTTGGGTTAGGGTTTTGCATGAGATTTGATTTTGAGTCTTAGGTTTAGGGTTTGAGACAGATTTCCTTCTTCTCGAATTGTAGGAATTAGGAGAGATCACCTACCTCTCGAATTGTAGTTGTTTATTTGTTACTTTATATGTTTGTAGCCATATTGTTTGCTTTAGAGAAATAAATTATTTGTCTTACCCTAATTTCTATGGAGAATCCTATCACAATACTGCTCTATCTCAAATGAACTTGGAGTGCTCTTCTTCGTGAACTTGAATTTGACCACTTTTTTATAGCTATCTATTCTTGTGAAATTACTTGGCCAATCTATGTATTTATTTAATTCTTGTTATTATTTATTTCGTAAACAGAAATTGGAACTTTTAAATTTTTAAAGGAAAATTTGCTATTAATAACTCGATTTCCTCCTCCATTGCTCTTCACTGCTTGCTTTTTTATTTTTAGCTTCCATACAAAATACACATGTAGCTGGCCCCACTTCGTGGGGTAAAGGCTTGGTTTTGTTGTGTTCCAAACAAAATACTAATAAAAATTTTTGCATTAATCAGGCGTATTTCTGAACCTAGGGTTTGTAAACATCTCAAATTTGGATGAGAAAATGGAACAAATTCCTAATTTCAATTTTGAAAATCACACCTAATTAATTTTTGCTCTGTTCTTACTGTCAAGACCCTCCTTGTTCTTGTACCTGGATGCTTCCTCTTAATTGTTGGTTCACACACCTTCTCCCTCCTGTTTATTTGCTTTCTCCCCTTGTCTCGCTCATTTCTCGCTTTTGTTTCTTTGTTGTTTTGACTCTTGCTAACCTCCTCTCTCACATTTGCGCCATATTTAAATAGCCTCTTTGAGTGGCTATTTGGTGTGGCTTTTCTCTTTTTAATTTTTTGATTTAAGTAAATATATTAAGTTTATTTATTCCTATTGTAGTATTTTATTACTCAATTCTTTAAATCTTTTAGCTTAATTTTGATAATTGAAGTATAATTATTAGCATTTCATTAATTACTTTATTTCAATCTATTTCCTTAATTAATTAATTTAATATATTTTGATTAATTTATTTAATTATCATTCAAAAATATATTATTATTATTACAAATTTTATGGTCTCACCCCAATGCTCAAGCCAAAGATATTATACTTTGCTTTACCTTTATTGTTTTTTTTTTGATTTAAACATATTTTGTAATTGATATGTTCCATTTGGTTTGATTGAAATTTAATCTTTTGGGGCTGGAATTGTAAGATAAAGATTATGTAGCTTTATTATTTACATGATACGGGTATCTTTTAAATTGTATTCATTTATTGACTACTGTATCTTTCATGTCATGTCATGCAAGCTATAGATACACATTTATAGTAATTTTTACACTTGTCATGCAATCAATGGATTTTATTTTTTTTCTCTCTTGGAGTGGGGTATGATGACTCATTTCATGTTATGAAAAAACAGAAGATTTACACACATACCACTTTATTTTTATGTATTTATATATCTGACACCTAATATTGAATTTTTACGCGTATGCCACCTTTCCTATGCATAAAAAGGTGTATTTCACTTTTTAAAAATTAAATGGTGGTGTGTTTGATGCGGTATAAAGAATTTGGGTGGTATAGATGTAAAAGTAAAGTGTAGGTGTTACATTTGTAAATATATAGGAATTTGGTGGTATGTACGTAAATGCCTTAAATAAGACAGCTTACATGGTGATTAATGTTGAAGCTTTTAAGAGATATGAGGGCTCGAGAGCACTTTCAGGATTTAAAAAGTAATGAAGAGCAGTGGAAAGCCAAAGAGAGGTGTGAATGGAGGCCAACCCCTATTTATAGTGAAAGAGAGTAGATTGAATTAAAGGGTTTGGGGGAATTTATTGAAATTACATATCTTGCCGGTGACTTCAGTGCATTTCTCTATAAAATTATGTGATAGGTCAAATGGTTTGTGGAATTTGCATTCAAACTAGCTATTTTTATCTGATCAATTGACTAATGATTTTGATGCAATCAAGCCAAACTTGGTTAGGCGGAAATCACTCAACAATTAGGCTATTTGGTCTCCTTTTATTTTTTAGTATTTTTACCTTTTCTTCAATTAGGAGGAAAAGGGTAAATTTCCTATTTCTGTCAAATTTTCACTTAAATATCAAAATCCAGAGCAAAATCTTAACTTGCATTTTTTAGTATTTTTAAAAAAATTCTAATGGTTTGATCGTGGTACATGTAAATGCACAGATTCACTTTTTTTTAGGGTAGTTGTTAAATTTATAAATATGCATGCTTAGGGTGGCATTTGCATGATATTCCCAAAAAGATATTCTGTTCTAAAAACTTATCACCATTATGAGCAGATTGGGGAACAGGCGGACTGGGAAGTTTTACATTAGTATGTAAAGCATGGTCGACTGGGACAAGCTTGCCTGAGCATGCTATTTTTAAATTGTACCTCCAACACAGCTAATAAATTGCAGCCAGGCAAGTTGACTCCCATTACGAATGGTAAAATTTGCAAGATGCCTCCTTTTTAATTACTAGTTTTCCATGGCTCAAATAAATCTTTGTTTTCTTATAAGATTCACAATATTACTTTTTTTCTCTTGTACGGTTCTTTGTTCTTTTGGTAGTCTAGTTCTGTATATTTACTGTAGATTAGTATTAAAATGTAACTCGAAAAGATCAGCTTTGTCATTTAGCTTTTTATTTGTATTTTTTCCTCAAAATATTTGTGGAAATGCCTAAATGGGCAACCTGGTATTAATGTGAGCATCACTCATAAAAATTGGATTTCTTCCGCAATGTTATTGCTATGAACGGCAACAGAAGAATCAATACTGCTGTTGTAAATTGTAATTTGATTTCTAGTGGCTCAATATATATGAAAAATTTGTTGAGATTATTTAGCAATGGGGCTTTTCCTATTGTCAGTTGAGTATCACAGCTCCGGTTAAGGCATGTTGATTTCCTTGTAACTTGTTATTGTTGATAAAGCTATCGGAGTTTATGTAGAGAAGTAGAAATGGTAGAATTGAGGCTGCCACAAGGATCTTTTAAGACTTGGAGTCCTTTTGAAATTAATATGTTTTGTCGAATAAATTTAGGTAAAGTATAATATTTGGTGATTTTTTATAGCAATGAACCAACCTGTCTCACTCAATAATGACTTTGAATTGCTTGATGATTTCTTCTTCTCTTACATACAGGGCAATCCCCAGATGGAGTGTGTAGTGCAAGGGATTATTGAAACACAGGTCTGCTTCTAGTTTTCCAATTCATACCGGGTTTACACAAAGGAAATGATATGTCGATTACTTTCTAAATATAACTTCTTCTGTTACCTCCATTTTATTTAAATCATTTATCACTACTTCTAACCATGTTATTATTGGTTTACCCTTTTCATTTTAATTCTCTTGCATTAATTCCATCCTTCTACTCTATTTACATACCCGAGCTATCTATATAATCATATCATTGAACAGTGCACTCCTTGTTACATCATATAATCAGTTCGCTTTCTATCTTCAGTATTTTTATCACATGCACCTGTAGCTTCATTCAGACTACTAAGAATACCGTTACTGGAGACAATTATAGTAATTCTAGAAAGGTTAAGTGTACAGTAGTAACTTAAACTCTTGGAGGAGGGAGTAAAATCAAATTCAACAACCTAATATTTATATGAAAAATGAGTCACCAATTTACCTCAGAAATTGATTTTCATGTGAAGGAGAAGAAAATTGGAGAAAACTGTCAAGGAAAGCAACTCTTTCTCTTGTTCTTCAATTGAAAATATATTGTTGAGAAATTAGGGCGAAGAAAAACAAGAATCGACACAAATCTTGAAGAACACAAATATTTAATGAGGTTCGACAAAGATGAATACGTTCTCAGGAGCAGAGCGGCGGCTTTCTTTCAACTCCAGAAAAAAAAGTTACAAGCTACAGAATAGAATAACTTAGGGTTACAAACAAGTCTATATATAACCCTAGAGAAGACCCTTGAGTACAATATGTAATTAAAAAATTACCCTTGTACCGTACCGCGAAGCGTTGCCCCCGCACTCCAAACCCACGAAATGAAACTCCCACGATTGGACAGATCCTTCTGCTCCGCTTCAGCATCTGTCCCTTATATGGTATATGAGCCATACCTAACAAATATTACATATTTATATACACTTCAATCTCTATAGTTTAAGAATATCTCTAACAAATAAAAGTTCCCGCAATTAGATCTCCTCTAATAGGTTGTCTAATATAGAAAATGCATTTATAGATGTCCTATAAATAAGCTACTTTTGATTAAGCCTAATATAAAACCATTTAATTTATTAATTTTCATAACACTTCATCTCCAACTAGAGCAATAGATATTTATCATGCCTAGCTTGCTACAAATATAAGTGACGATAGTTTTATCAAGGGTCTTTGTGAAGATGTCCCCTAGTTGTTCCCCAATCTTTATATGTGTTGTAGAAATTAAATTTTGTTGAATTCTTTCTCGAACAAAATGACAATCTATCTCAATTTGCTTAGTTCGTTCATGGAAGACACGATTTGAAGCAATATGAACTGCAACTTTGTTATCACACCATAGTTTTGCTGCAAATGTCATCTTAAAACCTATTTTGGTTAAGATTTCACTCGAAGCTCGTGTCATTGCTTGATACTCAGATTCAACACTGGATCGTGACATTACATTATATTTGTACCACCAACAAAAATACAATATCTAATAATGGATCTCCGATAAGTCTTGAAACTTACCCAATCCACATTAAAGAAATATTCAATATTTTATGCTCATGATTATGATATAGAATACTTTTTCCGGGAGCTCCATTGAGATAACATAATATGTGTTTCAAAATTGACGAATGATGAACTGTGGGAAAAATCATGAATTGACTTATAGTGCTACCGAATAAGCAATGCTAGGGAGATTCACAACGATATGATTTAATTTTCACACTAATATTATTAAGATCATTAAAAGGCTCCTGTTTTGACTCCCAATTTTCAAGTTTCTACTAATAATCTTAAAACATACTTCTATTGAGATAAAAATGCCTTTCTTGCTTTTGCATACCTCAGTTCTCAAGAAATATTTCATGGAACTCAGTTCTTTAATGTTGAACTAATTTTGAATAGATAATTTTATTAATAAGATTCTCTGCACATCGCTTCTAGTAATAATAATATCATCAACATAAACTATCAATAGAATGATCTCAGAAGCAGATTGCTTGTAGCATAGTGTGATAACTTTTACTTTTTTGCATCCCAAACTTTTCTCCAGCTTGGATAAATTTTTCAAATCATGCCCGAGTACTTTGCTTCAATCCATATAATGACTTCCGAAGTCGACATACTTTCTCAGGTTCTCCCTTAGCAACAAACCCAAAATGTTGCTCCATGTATTCTTCTTCTAAAAGATCATCCTGCAGAAATACATTCTCCACATCAAGCTTGTGCAAGGGCCAATTATTCATTAAGGCTAATGACAAAAATAGATAAATCAAAATAAATTTAGCTATTGGACAGAACGTGTTCAAGTTTGACCCATAAGTTTTAGCATAGCCCTTAGCAACTAACCAAGCTTTAAGACAAACTACAGATCCATCAGAAGAACTTAACTGTAAAGACCCATTGATAACCAAAAATCTTCTTGCCATAAGGTAGTTAACTAGCACCCGAGTTTTTTTTTTCAGTTGAGACCTTCATTTCATCGAACATCGCTGCCTGCTACCCAAAATAAGATAGGGTTTGCTCAAAGATCTCAGGACCTCAACAGAGTCAAGAGTAGCAATAAAAGAGCAAGAAGAAGAATATGACTGGTTATAGTTAACACAAGAGGAAATAGGATAGGTGCCTTAATGTTTACCTCTTCGGAGTGCTATGGGTAAATCAAGGTCACTAGGAGGAGGATCCATTTAAGAAGGTGATACCGGTGCCGGACTAAGATTAGGGGGATGAGGTCTTCTAGACTAAACATTAGTGATATGTGGTCTAGGCTGAGACATTGGTGGTGGAGGTGGAGTTGGAGAAGGATCTAAATTGATGATGTGATATATTAATAACTCATCAGACTTTTGTGAAAATTTAGGCAACGACGAGTCACCAAAGAATGAGTTTTGTTCATGAAAGGTGACATCAACAAAAACCATTTACCTCTTTAAGAGGGGGAAAATATCTATTACCCTTTTTGTAAATGAGAGCATTGTAGAAAGATACTTTAATGATTTAGGGTCTAGTTTAGGAACCTGCGGACGAGTATCACAATCAAAACAAGTATCCCAAATATATGTGGTTCAATAGAAAAGAGAGTTGAAAATAGTACTTGGTACGATATCTACTTCCGATTGATAAAAAAAACATGCAGTAGAAACTACATCAACTCAGAATTTTCGGGGCACATTAGTTTAAAACAAGTGAAGTATTTTTCGTCTTGAGATCCAGAAAAAGACAATGCTAAAGGAAAAATAAGATATAATAATTAAGATGAAGTGTAATTTTGCTAATAAAGACAAGATTAAAAGAAAATTGAGGTAAATTAATGATAAAAGTTAAAGGAAATGTAGGTATAGCGTTGATTGTGCTAATATCAAGAACATTCAAGGTAGATCCATTTGTTAAGATGACGGAAGAAAGATGTTTATGAAATGTGGAAAAAAGTTTTAGATTACCTGTCATGTGATCTGTAGCACTAAAATCTATGACCCATTATGTGGAACAAGAAAGAAGACAAGTTTCATTTGTTACCCGACTCAACAAGGGCAATGATAAAGGAGGATTTCTTGGGTGCTTCTTAAAATTGAATGAATTTAGCATATTTATCTGCAAAAATCGAGAGTTTGACTCTGATAGGCTCATTAATAATGACCATGTGAGCTGACTATCATCTAGAACCTTTCTGATTCTTTTTGAGTAACTTTTGACATGTTTTCTTAGTAGGACTTGGTTGACAACAATAGTAGCAAACTATCATTGAGTCTTGATTTTCATAATTCAGAGTTCCACTTCTATAGTTGCTCTAATACTGATGTTTACTGATATCTATATATTTTTTAGCTAGCAAGGGCACTAGGTTTTCGTATGGATGAAGCTTGAGAACTCAGAATAGTACACAACACTCTAGTATAGGCTTCCCTCAGAGTGGTAACTTCAGGGTCTGATAGGATCTATAATTTCACCTTTATACTAAGAGTAGAGGCTACTTGGAAAACTCATAATGTCCATTTGTTTTCTTATTTTGTTGAATCTGAACATTGGAACTGAAAGGCGATAGTGAATTCAATTCTTCATGAGCGCGTTTAAAATTCATGTGATAAGTGCTAAGTGATTGATCTTGTTGTTCAGCTCTACAGAACTCCTTGCATACATTAAAATTCGAGAAATTTTTTCTTTCCCACAAAACGTATGCCGATTCCTCCATCACATCTTTAACACAGTCACAATGATTAATATGACTAGATTGATCAGGTTTGATAAAATTCCATGTTTGTATCAAAAGTTGGGCATCAATTCTCATCCACTATGAATAATTCAAATTAGTTGAGAGAGATTATCAATGGGGTGGCTCTTAAGAAATACTTCTTAAGTAAAGTCTCACAGTTTTATTTTATAAAAATAATTGATGCTATTTAATTTTTCATCATTACTTTTAGCTACTGATGTAATCAAACTTATAACATGTTTTTGTTTGCCAGCCTTGATTATTAAGTATTCAAATAGACTGAATCAACTAATCTTAATGTTGTTTGATGAAAAAGGAGATGGAGTGAAACTAACCCATATGCTATGATCTCGTTGTCTGTTTCGGGCAAACCAATAAGCCAAACCTCTTCTGGATGGGCTCCTCAATTTGACGGTATACATATTGAGCTATAGGAGACAAACGACTTGACAAAATTTGATTATCGCTAAAGGCTAACAAACACGATTAATGATGCCGCAAGAGATGAATGCTCGTGATGGACGACCACACTTGAGCTGTGACCAACATCACGAGATTAAGCTAAACCATGTATGGGAAAGTGAGAATCAATAGAGATGCAGTGGGATAATGCCAACAGGACAAATACCTACTGTTCGTCCATTCGTTCATCTTCGACGTACAAACAAATGATTTGAACGACGTAGACTAGCTGCACTTGCGTGCTGGGAACAAAGTCTAACCGAGGAGTAGACTATTAGCGACGACCGTGTGCGGCTCTAATACCATATGAAAGAAAACAACTCTTTTTCTTATTCTTCAATTGAAAGCATATGTTACATATTTATATACACTCCAATCTCTATAGATTAGAAATATCTCTAATGGAAGAAAGTGATAGGCTTCCTTGAGAAATTGGGCCAAAACAAATATTTAATTTGTCCAAAGCAAACAATACACCTACAACTCGAGAGGTAGGAGATCTCTTCCAATTCCTATAATTCGAGAGGTAGAATATGTCTCTCAAACCTTAAAACTAAGACTCAAGGCTCAATCTCATGCATAACCATAACCCTAAACATATTAGCTTATTTATATTAAATAATAAATAAATGATAAAAGACTAACTTGCTCTTAAGCACACAAAAGATAAAATTTCCTATTACGTTAGGCACCAACATAACAATATTCCTATTCCAAAAGATACCTTGTTCTCAAGGTGGGAAAAAGTGAGGGTGTCCCTCTTCCACCACAATTGTCTAAGGTTTTTCATCCTTTGCCTCGTCAATAATTATGAGAACCTATAATGTTTGATCCTTGCAACACTATCCTGGGGCAAACTTCTCATCACATCGAAAAATAACCCCTTCAATTGCTTCTCTTGAATCTCTGTCTTTGTAAGATGCTTGAAAGTTGCTCCCGGTCGTGACCCATGATCTTGACCTATGAAGCCTCTCTCTAAACTTCCACTATTGGAAGTTTTGGTATTGTTGTGGTAGTGGTAGTTTGATATGGTGCTCCACCTATGCTGCTCCTATTAGCCTATTCCATTGAGTTTTTATCTTCAACCCTCTATGTTAATTTCATAGTTTCCTCTAGTCCTCGCGATCTCGGTAGGCAAAGTAATGCTCGTATCTCTGGTTTCATCCCTCTCATGAAGTTGTCTTCCAACACTTCTTCTGACATCCCTCTCAAACTGTCGGATATCATTTCAAATTTTTTCTTATACTCCATGATGGTTCTTTCCTAGACCAAAGCAAGAAAATTGCTTATGTAAAAACCCTACTCTGGTGGTTTTGAAGTGCTCCGATTGATTTTTGAATTTTTCCATTGTTCGGATTGATTGATATTATTCTCTCCGTTGATATCATGCTAGAGCCTTTCCTTTTAAACACAAAGCCATCACCATCAATTTTTCTTCCTACATCAACCTATTAACAATGAAGCATTTCTTCACACAATAAGCCCAACCATAGGCATCCTCTCTTTCAAAGTCCAACGTCTTCAATTTCTTATGCCCGAGTCTCCTGAATTTCATTGACCGAAATTCATTCTACTTGTAATGCAGTCGACTACCATATTGATTCATTTTCTTTCATAAGTCTGGCTCGTCCCATAATCAATTCGCTCATCCTTACAGGCTCCTGAATCTCTTCCACTCGAAAAGTTGATGTAACAAAAGACACTGATGTTCAGGGTCCCACCTATTGTGATTCTCTGTTCTGGGCTGAAATCCTTTAAACCGATCTTCTCTAGCCGTGAATCACATGTCATCCGGTTCTGCTTGCTAATTCTCATTGCAATCGTCCAGATGTTGCATTATTCCTTCTATGTCTTGTCACTTGAGTCTGCTTTAATTCCTTCGCTCTATCCCTTTATAAGCGATGACGGGTTTGTGCGGGAGCCTGCGATCTTCTTTATTATTTCTTCTCGGGCTCTGAACCTCCTCTTCAACCTTCTCTCCATAGCCGAGAAATGCTTCTCAATTCTATATCTGATTTGACTCATATTTTCTTCCAATGCTTTCTCCAAATCATCTACTTTCTTATCTGTAATTATTTCATAACAACTTTACATCGAAATTGATAGATTCCAAATTTTTGTTGGGGCTTTTGGCATGCACGAAACTCAAGATGTCGCGATCCCTGGATTCTTATACGCTGTTTGGTATAGGACTACTGGAAGCCATGCGTAACTTCTAAACCAACAATCTAATTTCTTGTACGCGTATTAGTGTAGGAATTCCTATTGCTGGACTCTTGTAATCGGGATTTCTGTCAGTCACAGATCCCGTTCGTGAGTCTCTGTCAAGAGTGGTGCATAACTCTTTTATTGTAGCGATCCCAATCACATATTTCAATCAAAAACGATGCAAAACTTCTGTACACTATGATTAGTTGTCGCCTGTACACTGCGATCCCATCTTTTGTGTCCCCACTAGCCCTTTCTGTGATTTGGCGTTGTTGCCTTTCTGATTTTGTTTCTATATGATCCCGATGCTGCAATTTGGCTTCTCTGCAATCACAGATAACTCGACTATGACTGTATCGTAGCAAACGACAAGCCGTGATTCTATTGTCAATTCCCAATTAGCTCTATTGGAACTCGTCACGATCCTTTCTCCTCCTAGATGACCGCAATCCCGTTGTTCTATCCCAGCTAGCTTGATTGCGACTCTATTGTCACAAGAGGCTAGTTCGACCGCATCAGCTTTCCAGCTTTCATGCCTCAATCCGCATTCCCTTTCTCGACTTTTTTTTTCTTCAGAAATCAAATGCTCTGATGCCAGTTTGATATGATTCTTTATAGAAATTAGGGCAAAACAAATATTTTCTCTCTCCAAAGCAAATAACACAATCACAAACATATAAAATAAATGATAAAAACCTATAACTAAAGTGGTAGAAAATCTCTCTCAATCCTAAACCTCGTACTCAATACCAAATCTCATGTTAATCCTAATCTTAAACATAACGTATTAGCCCTATTTGTATTAAACAATAATTATTGACAAAAGACAAAATTGCCCTTAGGCACAAAAAAGATCAAATTACTCTTAGGCGCTAGGCATCCGTGTAACAGAAAGATCCTGTAGTTAGATCTCCTCTAATTATATTACCTAATATAGAAAATATATATATTAGATTTCCAATAATCAAGCTTCCTAATATACAACCAATAGATTTATTACTTTTCATAACAAAAATGAAGGGGTGAAGTTATGTCAACTTTTATTTTTAAATTTCAGTTTTAGTGATGTCAAAAGAAATCTCTACAATAACTGTGCGAAGCATTAGATTTCGTTTGACTGTGCTACATCATGCAGTGTTCTACAAAAATAAATTGATTCTTGTAATATAGGTGGGGAGTTTTTCTGCAAGTATTTTATTTGTGTTGTAGAGGTAAAAGGGATGGACACGTGGAATACTTGCTTGTTTTTCATACAAATTTGATCTGCCTTTTGAACAGCAACACATCATGTTAAATTTGCCTTGATAGAAAGACATAATCTTCATTTTTTTTTTATTAGTAAGATTAATCGGCAGATTTGCTTTCCTGAAATATGTATAATATAATCTGCCTATCCTACTTGCTTGGCTGTGCTAACTTTCAAATTAGTCTAACTTGCTAATGACTTAAGATGCTTATTCTATGCTAACTTTTTTAACTTTTTCTCACCTAAACGCAATTTTCCTTTTGCACAATCTATCTGAGTTTTCAAGATCAATATGCATCTTGTATTATTTAGATTTTTCCATCTTAGTTCTGAAAATTTTCTAGTGTTCAATTCAATCCCTCAAATTATCAAATTCATACCTTTTTGGTCCTTCTATCATCTCAGATAGCTAAAACTTATGGAAGGGAGGTAAACGTTGAGTGTATTATTTACTTTTTTGTGCTGGAGGATGAGTATTGGTAGGTCTGCCCTCATTTTTTTTGGAATAATAAGAATTGTTGTTCAATGGGATCCTCACTTTCTTGAAGCTGGTAGCATATGACTTGCAATGATCAATGCAGGCTTTTCTCATGTACTCCTTATAGCAACATACCATGTTTGGTTAAATTGTACTTTCAGCTATGTAAAATTATCTCTAGTCTGCGTAATATACTTGAATCTTTTTTGTCTTTCTCATGGCCTTTTTGGAACTAATGCATGCTATATTTACATTTTCCATTTCGGTCCTATTACTTACAAATCTAATCCATACTTTCCTTACTTTATCGCTCACAAATCTAATCCATACTTTCGTTACTTTATTGCTAATCTTTTTCCTCATACAATATATTCCACTTGGATTTCTATTTCTCAAAAAGTGCCTACTTTCAACCATCCAGTTTTCAAATTACTTTTTTTCTCATAAATCATGTAATCCATTATGCTTAGACCACATTCACTTGCTATTCCATTTCTATGATTGGATCATTTATGTTGTGACATTTGGATCAATGTTTTTTGTTTTACAAATACTATTAACATAATCCATCCACTTAACCTTTTATTTATAAAAGCTTTTATCTATGAGGAAATGTATACTTGTAGTCTAATTTTTTGTAATGCCAGCTACGATTTAATCGATTAACTTTCCCACATTGTTGCTGAGTAGTGCTAAACAATCTAGTGGTAGTAGTAGCATCTATTTAAAGTAGATTTGTGTAGTTTGGAAATGCATAATTAAGGATAAAAAATTTACCCATTAAATGAGAAGATAAAATAACTTCTAGGTGATTAGGTGGAAATTATAAACTTAAAATATCGTGAATAGAAGCTGTTCAAGATTATTTACCAAGAAAGATATAACAACTTATGTTGCATGCAATGAAAATGATTGAAGAATTACGATTCAAAACGTCAAACATTGGGTTAGGACTAATGATAATTTTAAAATCTGGCAATTATTTCAATTTGATCTTTGTGGCAATAATATTTTTTCAGCATGTTGATGCCCTAGAGATCCTTCTTCGTGGTCTTTGTGGTGTTCCCAAAGAACAAGTTAGAGTCCATGAACTGTGCCTAAAAAGTGGACCAAACCTCGGTGAGAAATAGCACTGAAGCAGCTTAATCATATTGATGCTTCTTTCATATCAGCTTGTATGAATTGATCTCTCATTACATCAGGTGTTGTGCCTTCCGAGCTTCGTCTATTGTGTGATTTGGTGCACCCAACACCTTCATGGTATGAGCATTCTTTTTCATTATATAATTCTTCTGCACGCATAAGTACCAACATCGACATTATTTAAAGGAAACTAATGGTGTGTTTGGGAGTGCTTTATAAGTGCCTTTCATTTTGAACTGCTGTGAACAACAGTTTGGGAGCTAACGTTTCACCTGCTTTTATGAGAATCCTATTTTGGAAATTGAGATTCCGCAAACGATAGTGCCTCGCTTAGTTTGGCGGTTATAATCGCGATCTGGATTCGCAATTATCATCATGCCCCTCATGAATACGGTGATTGACCTATTTTATCCCCGATATTAACCTCCCCTCTTCTCCCTCCGGTTTCGTTGCAGGCAAGTAGTGTTAGGGTACATTTGCAGTCCTCTTCTTTTCTCCCTTGCATTCGCTATCGCCTTTCTGTATGTATAACACTTACCTCATTTCGTGTTTTCTCCTATGGTGATGGCTTATTGCTTTTCGTTTTATCTATGTGGTTATGCCCGGGGACTTCTTAGTTTTCTTCTGTGTTGGTTATTTCGTGCTTCTCGTTAACTTATGTGGTTGTGCCATTGTGGTTTTCAGTTGTCCTCTTTGGTGGTGGTTGGTGCTTATCTTTTTTCTTATGTGATTGTGCCTTGGGGCTTTCGGTTTTCCTATGTTGGTGGTTTGATGCTTCTCATTTTGCTTATATGGTTGTGCCTTCGGTTTTTTTCGTTTTTCTTTATGGTGGTGGTTTGATGCTTCTCGCTTACTTATTTGGTTGTGCTATTGGGACTTCTCGGTTGTTCTCTGTTGTGGTAGTTTGGTGTTTCACGTTTTAATTATGTGTTTGTGCTATTGGGGCTTCTTGGTTGTCCTTTGTGTTGGTGGTTTGGTCTTTCTTATTTTACTTATGTAGTTGTGCCATTGGGGCTGCTCGGTTTTCCTCTGTTGCGGTGGTTTGGTGCTTCTCGTTTTATCACTTTGGTTGTGCCTTAGGGCTTTCAATTTTTCTTTGTGGCGGTGGTTTGTTTCTTCTCGTTTTACTACATTGGTTGTGCTTTGGGGCTTCTCGGTTTTCCTCTGTGGTGGTGATTTAGTGCTTTTTGTTTCAACACATTGGTTGTCTTTGGGCTTCTCAATTTTTCTCTGTGTTGTGGGTGTGGACGCGACAGTGAACTTTACTTGTAAAGCTCGAAGGCACAACCACATATGTACATATCTAGCTAGTAAAGTTCCTTATAAGTTTCGTGAACACCGAAAGATGAAGTGATATGCTTGATTGTTGTCGATTCACATAAAAATTGTGAATTTATTATCGCTAGTCGAAGTGACATCCAAAGATGGGTATGAGTGTGGTTTGGTGGTCTCTGTTGGGTGTGGTTGTGGGTGCGGTTTTGCAATGTTGGTTCTTGGTAAGGGTTGGCTTTGTTTTTGGTTGTGGATTTGCATCGATGGCTGTGGTTTGTATTGGTCGTGATTTTTTTTTGGTTATGCATGGATGGTTGTTGGCCGTCGGTGTGATTTGTTTGATGTTTTGCTCCCAAACCAGTGAATTATTATGCATTCATATATGAAATGTGGGTTTTGACTCATTTGAGTTTCATAATGTTATGTAGAGAAATGATGGAAAAACAAAAAACTCAACCGATCATCAATTGCGAATAATATAATTATCCTCATTTGTTTGTCACTTACACTATCAGGTCTTAAAGCACACATCACACTGTTAATAACCACATATACTTGGTCTTACCACATGACACTTCCAATCACAGATATTATCTGGTCTTAGAACACGCATACACTGGTAACATAGATACTACCTAATATTGCCACACATGACATTGTTAACCATAGATACTACCTGACTTTAGAGCACACCTCACACTATTAACCATAGATATTGCCTAGTCTTAAAGTACACATCACATTGTTAACCATAAATACTATCTGGTGTTAAATCACCCATCACACATCACATTGTTAACCACATATACTTCATGACCTTACCACACATGACAATGCTGACCACAGATACTTGGTCTTGGACCACATAGATATTGCCTAGTCTTAAAGTACACATCACATTGTTAACCATAAATACTGTCTGGTGTTAAATCACACATCACACATCACATTGTTAATCACATATACTTCATGGCCTTACCACACATGACATTGCTGACCACAGATACTTGGTCTTAGACCACACATAACATTGATAACCATAGATACTACCTGGTCTTACCATACATGACACTGTTAACCACAGATACTACATAGTTTTAGAGCACACTTCACACTGTTAATCATGGATACTTTCTGGTCTTAATGCACACATCACACCGTTAACCACAGATACTACCTGATATAAGACCACACTTGACACTGCTAACCACAAATACTACTGTCTTAAAGGCTGAATGATTCAATTGGTGATTCTGGATGGAGCAATTTTTGATAAATTGATCTCATTAAGCTCTAATTCGATCTGGTTTTGTTTAATTTTTTTTTTCAATTTTCATGATTATTTTTTAATTGTAAGATAAATTATATTCTTTTCTCAAAATTTTTCATCTACTAGATACATCAGATGGGAAACAAAATAAAAGTCATATATCGACCATTTGGGCGAGGGAGGTCAAGATCACATTCTATGATTTATGCTTGAAAAGGATATAAATTGATAATAGATCAATCACATGCTTCAATTAAGAAGATTGACAAAACATAACAAAAAACTTTTATGGAAGTAACAAGAAGATTGCATGAAAAACTCAGTTGAAAAACAAATGAGATCAACTGAAAAAAAATTAAATATTGTGGAAGGAATTAAAGAGATGGTCAACTGGATTTGGTTGTGACCTTGTTAAGAAAATAGGGAACACATCAAATGAGTGATGGAGAGAACTTCATCAGGTAGAAAATATTATATGAATTTTTCATTTTATTATATTTATTAAAATTCAATTTTATCAATCTTAGGTCTTGCTCAATTCCAAACAATTTAAGATTTTTGGCATAGACCCCAAGCTTAAGAATAAACTTGATTCTATATTTCTCGGTGTTGTGGCTATGTGCTCCAATATCTGGGAGACAACGCATGACTTCCCCCAGAATTTGGATGAGTACGAATATGCTCATTCAAAAGAATTTTAAGAGGAAGCACTATAGGAGAGGGGATAAAGGTGAATCAAGGCATCCCAAGCGTTCAACACTATCCACATAGAAGTGGAAAAAAGAAAATGAATGTCAGCACCAATAATTATCTGAGCAGATTTCACAGCTAGTCACGATCTGCACCAGTATGACATCTAGTGCTTGCACGCCTATTCAAGGATACCTAAGCATGACAAAAGTCATGAAGCTACTGCACTCCACTCTCGAGATATTCGATATGTCATCGAACAAAGCGGGAGGCTTTCATGACGATGGTGCTAGAACGAAAGATTCCTTACCTCGATATTTTTTAAACAATTAACCTAGTTGTTTTGTATTCTTTTTCTTTCTTTTACTTATTGGTGTGTAATAATTTAAACTTTTATGTCCAATTAATATTATGTGATTTGTTTTTGTGACATTTCATTATTTATATTTCGCACTAGTTGTAGTGTTTTATTTATGTAATTGTTCCCTTATAGCATAATTTATTATTTTTAATATATTCTGACATGCATAAAATAGTTGAATGGACTCATAAAAAAAGATGTGATTTTAGAGCCAGTGGAATGAACAATTATTATGACTACTATAATGTGTTTTATCAATAAGTACTATCGGATAAATTTGTACATGATACCATGTGTGTCATCGTTGTCTGTGGGTGACGAATGGATTGGTGACCTTCTCCAAGTTCATTCTGCCAGAATTCATTGTTTGTTTCAAATGTAAATTATTTTTTTGATTTGCTGGTTGAATTGCAAAAAAAATTATGGGATGCATTAATCGTCCAGATTTACGCCCAGGGAAGTACTAGCTATCACTTTATATATTTTGACACATAATGAGTCCATTCATGCTACTTTTGAGCAATTCCAACACTCAACAAAGACGATTAGCAGATATCTCGATTTTAGGTTAAATCTTTAGTTAGAATGACAAACAACATTGTTAAACTTATGGATCTTGTTTTTGCTCATATACCGAGACAATTTGTAATGATATGAGATGCATGTCGTTCTTTAAGGTATTCATTTATCTTTTTAGTTTGCATGGATGCTTTACCAAAAGAATTGTTCTAATAAAATTTTTAAGTATGATTGTATAGAAGTAATTGATGACACATATCGATGCACAGCTTGACAGCAATGACAAGATTGCATATATAGGATGTTATGGATTTGCAACACAAAATATCTTAGTAGTTTGTGATTTTAAGATGTGTTTTATGTTCTTAATGTCAGGAAGAGAAGGGAGTGCTCAAGATAGTCACTGTTTCAAATTTTGCCCAGAGTTGTGAATACAAATTGTCAATGTCTCCAGCTGTTTAGTACATTCATAATCATATATGAAGTGTTATATTTGAAGAGCTGTACTAATAATGTTATTATTCTTGAAAACGTTATCTCATTGATTCGGGATATCCTATGTAATGAGATTTCTTAAAGCCCTTCCCCGATATGAGATGCCATTTTCTTGACTATGAAGGAATGAATTGTTTAATAAAAAATACTCATCATTACAAAATGTTATCGAGAGAACATTCGGCGTAACATTCAGCGTATTGAAGAATTGAGTCATACTCCAAGATATATCAACATATTCCTTAAAAAAATGTATAAAGATAGTTTTGCAATGACAGCCTTACGTAATTTTATACGGAGACATCCATCTCCGGACGATATTGATTTCAGGGTTTTGGATGAAGTTCCCACATGCAGACATGTAGAAGCATACTAACATCAGACACTTCAATCAGTTCTCGAGAGAGACTTCTGCACGAATGACTTCAACACACCTGATGAGGAGGGTGTGAAGGAGATGATACAATTGAGAGAAGACATGTTAAAGGAGTAGAGGAAACACAGAAACAACAAAAAAATGTTTCATTAATATTAAAATAAAATTATATCATGACTCCAACAAAAATAACAAATCACAACTGAAATGACACCAACAACACTCCTAAGATGTAACTTAATGGGTGGTGGTCGGTTAGAGGGAGGGGAATGATTGGAAGGGTGCGATAGCCATAGAAGGCGGGTGGTAGCAAAGGGAAGGTGTGGAATTGAAGGGACTGCAAATGGAAAGGGTTGTGGGTGGTTGGTAGCGATTGTGTGATGGTTAGAAGCTTAAAGTGGTCGATGGCTAAGGGGAGTGAAGGAGATAATCTAGGGAGGATAGAAGGGGAGGATAGAATCACCATTGCGTAGGGGATACAGCTGAAGCACTACCATCTCCATAGATACAACCCACAAGGGGGAAATAAACTCCACACAAAAGATCTGAAACTGAACTCAAACATTACTCTAATCCGACTCCCTCATCCCCAAAGATAGAAATTTTTAGACTCGTAAAGGAAGCTTCTACACAAAGGACTAGAGTGGAAAGCCTAAAAAAAATCCAGAAAATCCAAATTCCACCATTGGCTTCCATCTGGATCGCGCATGTTCGCGATCCTGCTCACCTGCTTGTTCCTGCGAAGGTTTGCAAGCTCCATGCTCTCGTGCGGGTACTTCTGTTTTCGCTAATTCTTATGGGTTCCCACTTTCGCGAAGTCTCGTGGGGTTTCAATCTTGCGGGATCAAATTACCCCAAATCGGGGCGCAGTTTAGTGCCCGGGGGCATTTGTTTTAGCGCCCGAGTTAGGGCGCTGGTAGCGCTTTCATCAAGACATTATGGATGCCTTGGTGAGTTCATTGATTATATCTGATTAATATTTTGTAGTTATGTTGATGTTTATTGATTTAAATGTAGTGAGGATTGATTCATTTCTATTCTCTTTCATATTTTGGTATTTAAGTTTCTAAGGGTATACCTTTAGAGATGCATTTTTTTTCTTTATCTGATTTTTTTTTTCAAATTATGAACCTTTTTATGTCTTTCTTCTATTTTATATATAGTCAAATTTATCAATTAAAAACATAATATACTATCACTTCAGGAAAAATAAGTTTAAGGTCATTAGATATTTTTAAAGCTCTGTGCTGCCATTGTGGTATGCAGTGTTCTGAATACACACCAACAATATAATGCAGCTATGAGTGGAGAGTGCAGATTTTTTTGTTGGGTTGATGATATAGAGTTCGTTGTACATATTGAATAAGTCAGGTGAGATGTTATGGATAAAAATTACGCTGAAGACTTGATCGTTTAGACATGAAAGCGAACATCAATATAGCAATAATAGTTATTTATATAATTTTTATTATTATAATAGTATGCATAAAATGATGACTTGCAATTGATACACTGGAGAAATTTGGAATTCTGATGTGTTTTTTGTATTACTGGAAGTGTTATTGTTAACCTAGTGTAATTATCATGAAAACTACAGTTATTCAACTGATTTACATATATAAGGGCATAAATGTCTTTTTCATCAGAAAAAACTGCTGCATAGTAGATTATCCAAACAGCCTCACTGTTATTCCGACAACTGTTTTCTGACATCAGCTGGGAAGCGGCTTCACAGTTGCTTCTTCAAAAAGCAACAACCAACGCACCCTAAGGCCTCATTTGAAATTTTTTTCTTACTGCTTTCCCTTTCAAAAATTGTCATTCATTCATTTGGTAAATATTTTGGTTGTAAAGCTTATTAAAAAGTGCTTTCTAAAAAATTCCATTTTCTTGGTAATTTCAACTGCTATTCCCGTTCAACTTTAGAATATTTTTTTTTTCTAAAACAGTTTTTAAACATACATTTTTTTTAAAGCAAAAACACCATCAAATAAAGCATAAATCTAACATCTTGTGAAGGACTGTGAGACATGTTGGGGGTGCAATGAGAGGAGCTGGAGCCGACCAAATTTCTGTTTTGGTTAGAACTGTGGTGGAAAGCAAAGTGAGCAATAATGTACTCCGTTTCTTCTACGGACTTGGCTACAAGTTGGACCACGAAATCTTAAAGGTGGGCTTTGCATTCACCTTCCCTCGAGGTGCCCAGATCATTGTCACTGTAACTTCAGCACATAAAATGCCAAAGCTTCATGCCATAGATGAAGCTGTGCCCATCACTCCTAACATACAAATGGTAGAAATTACGGCCCCTGCCACAGCTGAAAATTATAATGAAGTTGTGGCAGCAGTTTCATCATTTTGTGAATACTTAGCTCCGTAAGTGCTTCATAGGCAGTTACGCTATGCTTTATTTGTCTGGCAACTGGAGTTAATATTTTATTCTTTCACAGGTTATTGCATCTCTCAAAACCAGGAGTCTCAGCAGGTATTGTTGCCACTGCTTCTGCGGCTGCTGCATCGCTTATGTCAAATAGTGCCAGTAAGCCTCTATAGTAACTGTTTTCCACAGAATTCGTCTGTTAGGCTTATTTTCCTATTTTGCAGGAACTATAGCAGCCAAAATATACTCCTTTTTTTTAATGGCAATCCATGCATTTTTTGGTAGTATATTGGTAATTCTAATTCGAATGACTGCATTTTTTAATTGGCAAATGCAAAATAACTTTTTTTTTTAATTTCAAGCAAAAAATTGTTCCCTCAAGAAGTACGACCCACCTAAATTCATTTTTGAACATTTAGTTCTTTCGTTTTCGGTAATTGCTAGTTCTAATTGTCACAAGCATTATTTATCTTCTTAATCATAAGATATTTCTTTACAATCAATTTCATTCATCGTTTCAAAATAAAATTATTCATAAAGATTAATTAAGGGCATATTCAAAATTATTTTTCTATTTTTAAAATATTATTAAAGTATTTTTATTTTTAAAACACTTCGAATAATTTTTAGATTTTTTTGAATATTTTAGAAATAAATATTTATTTGGGCTCATATAAAATAGTTTTTATTTCAAATTAAAGTAGAAATTAAAGTAAATAAATAAAAAATAAGAGTAATCTTCGATAGATATAATATTTTCTCCCGGCCTATTGTATTATTTTTGTTGAACAACTTTGTCAATTGCAAGTTTTTCTAAACTGCGATTCGTGATATGATTGATTAACAAAATGAACAAGACTTTGAAAATCCATTAAGTTTTTTTTTTTTAATTCCTTATAGTTCAAGAATGGTTTTTTTTTGGTGTCATGAAACAAATACTTGTTTCAAATTTTTATTATGTGGCACTGTTTTTGTGCCCAGCATGATCATCTGTATATGTTTTCAAAATGTAGAATGTTGCACTATTGAATTTGTTTTAAAAAAATCAATTATATTTTAAAATTTTGACAAACTAAAGTTCTGATGTCATAGCTTTTTTCACATTGAAACATTAAAAAATTAAAGTTCCCTGGGTAGCAACAAATTTTTTAGGATGGAGAGATGTATTGAAAAATTAAAAAAATAAAACCTTTTGATCGGCTTTGCAGGCTTTCTTGTTTGACGAAACTGACCATTAACCTTTCAGTTGATCAGTTAATTGGGCTAATCTTTAAAAATACTGTCAGCTTTGTAAGTAGATTTTAGTCACTTTTGAAGGAGTGTTTAGTTTGGGGCGCACACACACTTTAATGATAGGATTGGGATGGGAAGCCCAGTCAAGCCACCAATCTCAAACAGAAGAGAACAATTTCCCAGGTAAAGTGTTCCCAAGTAAATCATAAGAGAGGCGCCAAAACTATGTGAGAAAAATTCTTCCTATTATTTACACAATAAACAAATAGAAGAGAGTCTAAGACCCTTGAGCTTAACAATATCATCAGTGGACAACATTTTGAGTAGTTTTCTCCAAAGCAAAAAAGGAAATAGAAGGTTTCAACAGCTTGCACCATAACCAATTTAGCTTAAATTGTTGTAAAGGTTGATTGATATTATGAGCAATAGTCTTAGTCATAGAAATACCATGTGTTTCTTAAAATAAGAGCATCTTTACCTTGAGTGTTGAGAGGCAATTTACTAATATAAGAAGCATCTTGAGAGGAAATAAATTGGATAAGCTTTTATACATCCCAAATACTGTCACTCCAACAATTCTTCACAAGTAAATTTAGCTGCTGAGGGCCCCATATAGACCAACCAGTGGTCCCCAAGGAGATCATTCTTCATACCAAAAGCTTAGATTTCCTTCCCCAAAATCCCATTTGATAAACTGTTCAATAGCAACTTTATGTTTCAGCATTTGTTTCCAAATAATTGAATCAATCAGTTAAGGATGACAGACCAAAGAGCACCATTACAATATTTATTCTTCATAAGATTAGCCCATAATGACTTCTGAGTTCTGAATTTAACCCACAATTTTATAAAGTTGATATGCAAAGACTCATCAATGGATCTAAAATCCAACCCCCTTTTATCAATGGGTTTACACAGTTTTTTTCAATTTATCCAGTGTATTTGAGATGAGTACCCACTCCAAAGTAAACCTATCGAAGCCTTTCTCCAACTGATTAATAATAAATTTATACATTTGTGCACTTTGTAAACAATAAAAAGGAATGGTAGTTAGAATAATCTTCAGCAAGGTAATTCTGTCCCATGCATTGAACTTATTGGCAATTTATGGATCACCTCTTGAAAAAGATAGCTTTTTTTTCCTTCCCTTGCTAATTTGGACTCTAAGGTAAACAATAGGAAGAGAAAGCAAAGAGAATCCAGTAAAATCAGAGATCCATTGACCTCTAGAGTAAGGGACTACTCTAGTGATGTAAAAAAACACATTTATTCCTGCTAAGTTGCATTCTAGATAACTGTTCAAATGACTACAAAAATTGAGAGCCCAGGTAAAGTACTTTTCAGCAAACAGAGAAGCAAATTCCCTGACGACATGAAGGAAGCACCCGCAGAAGTTAACATGGTAAAAAATCATGCCAGTTCTTCTATACGAAGTGAAGAAGACCACAAAAAAGAATTACAAAGGGCCATACAACAATGAGACAAACAAATTGATCGCCATAAAAATCAAATTGAAGAAATGTTTACTATTTTAGCAAATCTACATGGTTTGCTACAAGTGAAACTAGCACATGTCTTTGAGATTATCTGACCACAGGTAGTACATATTCCTGATGATAAGTGATCCCAAAATTATAGATGTGTAAATTAATAAAATTGACTCCGCTTTGCAGCGACACCAAAAACTTAATTCAATATTTATGAATAAGAAATTGAAGTAATTTATGTTGGGATTCTATGCAAGTATACATATCGTTATCAAGTAACACATGACTTTCGGTTTTAGCCCCAAATATCAATCCCACAAGAAATGTGTAAATTTGTAATGGAAATTTAAATCAGGAAATTCACAACAATAAAGAAAATCTACTACACTAATTTCAAATGTTTAGTGTGCTATCATAACTATATTACTAACTACTAGAAAAACTGTAAAGCAAAGCTAAACAATAACTATCAAACTATATTCTTGTGATGTGGTTATCCAATATGAGAAAGCATCTTTCCTACTAAAATGAGTTTTTGGTTAATGAGTTTTTGGTTAAATGAGATGGTTAAATGAGAGAGATAAATGTTTTTACTATGTCTTGTGCCAAATAGGAGCAATTTTAATTCTCTACCCTCAGTCAAGTGTTATAGATAATCGTTGATTAATCATAAGTTTAGTTTTTAAATCTGTGGTTAGGCTAAGAGGATACTGACTCTCATTCCAGAGCTCCTACTTCCATTCCCCTGAAGGCTAACTCTCATTTTAGTTCTTAAACACTAAGACCAAATTGGGGATGTTAGTCTGTCACCCTAGAATCTCCAATTCTTCGCCCAATAATATATATTTCCCTATTTATTTGCACCCAATTCCATGAACGAAACACTCCTTCATAGAATTGAATGTGATTCTCACTTTGTTGTGAAACTCATACTCCATTTCCCGGATAGTATGTTTCACAACAGATGTTAACATTTCAGTTAGCCAAATCAAAAAGTAAATTAAGAACAGAGTGAAAAAATTATTATAATTTATTTTATATTTTAAAATTGGCACATGCATATTATCTCTTCATTTCACCATATCTCAGATTAGTGAAAAAGACAAAGAAAACTATTCAAACCTAAAGAGAAAGATACGACAAAATACAAATTTTATAAATAAAAGAAAGTTTATACAACAATAATAAACAAACACCACTTATCTTTAACTCTTCTTCAAAACAAATCCCTTGTAGCTCCTCTTAGACTTTTTCTCTCTTTACAAGACTTTTAATTCTCTCTTCGAGATGTAGGAAGAAGAAATCTCTCACTTCTCTTCCTCTCCAACAACTCTTAGGAGAAATCACACTTAGACTCACCACGCTACACAAAACACTAAAGAAACTCAATGACACACTAGCCGACTCTTTTTTGATCAATTTTTGCTCTAAATAGAGCATAATGTTGGTTTTCCAAGAGCTGTATCAAATAACTCTTAAAAAAGCATCCAAATTCGTCGAATCTTCTAGAATTTCGCCCTGCATCAACTTCAGCGCCAGTGGCCCGAAATTAATTTGGCGATCTCTGTCAAATGGCGCCGTTGGTGCCCAGTTTGGTGTCGTTGGTGACCTCGATGTTCTGGACTCCTTCATGCTGGTGCCGTCAGCGTTGAGTATTTCTCTCCAAAATGCCATTTTGACTTCAAATTCCATCATCTTTGTTTCATTTTTTCTTGAAGTGCTAAAAATCATCAACCTACAATAAAAAATGAAAAGTACATTCCTTTAAAGCGCAATATCACAAAAAATGAGTATAATATATATGTCTAAAAATGTATATATTTTTGGTGCATCAAAATCCCCCAAACTTAAATGTTATTTGTTCTCAATTAACTCCTATACTACATAAAAATATGACTTATAGTAAAGAGTTTAGCTTATAGATTTCCATATTTTGGTCTACTAAATATCATAACATAACTTAAGAAAAAATTAAAATAACTCAAGTTAATGCTAAAGGTATAAAAATATCTAGCACTCAAGTCTAAGTTTTTTAATTCTCTATTCTTTTCAAGAAAAAATTACAAATTGTCATAGTAAAGCCACATAGAATATCCATATGAAAAAGAACTTCATGAAAACTTTACTAGTTATGCTAATACTTAAATACATGTTTAGAGAATGTAGCTAAGCCTTTTTTCTTAAGTTGATTCAAGTGAAGCCAGTTTTTGATTAGGCATCTCATCAAGCTTCTCCTCACATATTTTTCGTTACTTTTCTTTCTCTTTTTTTTCTTTTGTTTTTTTGCTTTTCTTCTTTTTTTTTATCTTTTTCATGTAAGGATTACTATATCTGGATAGCCTTTAATAATTTTGAACTTCACTATCCTCTTCTTCAAGTTAAAATTTTTTTCACATCCTTCACTTTATAAATTCATCTTAGCTTTGAAGGTTTTTTCTAAAGTTTTAATCTTTTCTTTTTACTTGAAACTCTAAGATTCTTAATACTTCAAAAATACAAATTTCTTTACTTAAACTGGAAAACATAGTTTTATTCTCTCATACCAAA